CCATCAACTCGTACAGTTTCTGTTTTGTTCAGTATCTCAGAACATATTCATCGCACAAAGTTATGCATTAATATTATTACCAAAATAGCCTAATAAAGCTAAAACTGACACAAAGGTTCTCTAGTATGAATTAATAATGTCGTTTCACGCTGAACTTTTTTTTTTATAGTTTTCGACAAATAACATCAAAGGTAAAGTAAGAAATATAGATCCCATGATCGAGTGTTGTATGTGAAAAACGATAATGGTCCGGAGGATCTTCTGTGCGTGATGTATGTAAGATTTAGTTAAAAATAATTATTAACATTTGTTGAAAACTTGCCTTAATCATGCGTCATGTGCTCGAGATGAATTCACATTTTTTTACTAACCATCGAGAAAATGATGGTTGCTACCTACCAACTTCCGGTTTGGCATGGACAGCGCTTACCCCCTATCTGAATACGATCGGCTATTTCCAGTGAAAATAGGGGCGGTCGGGTAGCCTAGTGGTTAAAGCGTTCGCTCTTCACGCCGAAGACCCGGGTTCGATTCCCGACATGGGTACAATGTGCAAAGCCCATTCCTGGTATCCCCCGCCGTGATATTGCTGCAATATTGCTACAAGCGGCACAAAACCATACTCACCCACTCACCAGTGGAAATAGGCCTCTTGGGTGACTCGTATACAATGTAAGCCGGAACTTTATTTGACCTCTTGACCGTCACGTGATGGAAACATCCTCTCATGCAGACGACAGTAATGAATGGCCTGTCAGAAGTTAAAAAAAACTGCATCTTATGTGGCGAAAGCGGCCGTTTGCATAATTTATGTGACTCAACTTACGTTTACGGTAGTTTTGTTTAGTTATTTACGCTTACTTAGGTCCCGGCCCGGACCCCGACCAATTCACATCAACATTTTGGAACTATATTTTCAAAACGTTGCTGTATACGAGTATATTTGGAATATATTTAGTATCATTTCTTCTAAATAAGTAGCTAAGTACATATAAGACTATTGAAAATTAAACAGATGAATCGTTTACGCGCAGAAAATGTGCATCCGCGATCGTGTTTAGGCGGAAGCCTGTTTACTGATGGGGCAGCAGTCGCCCCATTTCCTTCAGTCACAGCCGAGTCTTCTTTGAGATTACGGAAAGTGACGGAAAGGGACGAGGTTGGCCAAAAGCGCTTACCTCCTGTGTGGTAGTGTGCAGAAGCGATATAGTTCAAAGGTGAAAGCACACTTGGCTGACTTCCTTGTTATACCCGACACTATGTAGACAAGCTTGATGCACCGAGTTGTCACTACCTTATAATATGCTAAAGGATTCTCTTCAGGAACTTTCAGAGAAACTAAGGCAAGGGACAATGAGACACTTTGATTGGACAATTGTTGGGCAAGCATGGCGTGCAGGGAGAAACAAATACATTACGTCGTATCATAGAAAGTTCTAGCTGCAGCAATGGTTAGGCCATGCTTGATGTCACTTCAAGCTTTTAACCATTGGTGGTGTCATTTCGTGCAAACCTTTAATGAATGAAACGAATAATTCTTTAGTTGGGAGCACAATCAAAACTTGGCAGACTAATGCATGTTTAGTTGATGTTTGTGTAAAGGTGTGACTTCGTGGCTTTAACTGAGGTGTTTACTGGCAAAATATGCAAGATCATGATATCAAATACTAAGAAACTCTTATCAGTGTCGGCTGTGGGATGGTGCCAGGCCTGGTAAGTTCTGGCTTCCAAGCAAGCCATGCTGTAGTGAAATGCGACTAAATGGATTGGGTGGTCAGGCTCGGTGACATCACATCACATCCGAAACATAATTTGTGGATGGATGCTCGAGATGTCAGTCACCGGATGTCTGGTCCAAACTAGTATTTACAGACCGCCATCATTTTGCGATAATATTGCGCAGTGCATCAAATGTGTTCTGTTAACATGTTGCCGTCGCTTGACTAACTCCTACGGAAGTCAATACCTGGGCAGAATATGTGGCAGTTAGGCCTAAACAACTCGACAACAGAAGTACTTTTAGACTAAAAGGAAAGTATACGTATCATTTTACAGAAGCTTCGTACAGTATATGTACTTCATTCCCCGTGGGGTTGTCATGTACTGAAGTAATGTACACTTAATATCAAAGCATTGTTTCAGTCCACTTGGGGACACTTCCTCTGTATCTTGATGAGGTGATCTTCACATCCAGTTGTGGCTTCTTCCGTGGAGTTGAGGGTCCCTGTGTTGGATGTCTTGGTTGTGTTCACTTATCTCCTTATGTAGTCTGGGAGGTACTTCTTCCTTACGTTCAATCGGTGCTTCAATCCTACTTACATGTACTTGACCATAAGGATAACCTGACACTATATGATATAAGCAGCTACAGTTACTTAGGTACATGTCAATACATATAACAATACGTCAATACTCCAATTTACATTTCATCGGACCCGTGAAGATCCGGGGTATTATAGGTCTTCAGCAACCTATGCTTGCCGTAAAAGACGACTACGGTTGTCGTAAGAGGAGACTAACGGGATCTGTTGGTCAGGCTCGCTGGCTTGGTTGATGCATGTCATCGATCCCAATTTCGTGGATAGATACTTATGATGTCAATGGATTGTCTGGTCCAGAATCGATTATTTGCAGACTGCCGTCAGTAAGCTGGAATATTGCTGACTACGGCGTTAAACAAGAAACCAACCAACCAACCAACCAACCAACATTTCGCCGAGTAGAACTGATTGTACTTTCATTTTTATTTTGTGAATGGCTTCTCAAACGAATCTAACACCAAACGATATTACCCCAGGGGGTGGGGGTTGCAATTTGCGCGAAGAAGCACGGCGTCTTAATGTGTCCCCATCTGTTATTCACAGACTGTGGTAACGCTTTTAGCAAACAGGAGCAGTGCAGGAACCTCGTCGCCCTGGTCGTCCACGAATCACAAGAGCACAGGATCGACTCATCGTCCCAACGCCAACGCACTGCTAGTGCTCTCAGAATACAGCTTCATAACGTTGCTAACGCTAAAGTTAGTGATCAGATCATTGGGAAAAGGCTTCGAGAGGCAAACTTGAGATCAAGGCATGAAACTATCTGTTTTCGACTTCAGGTGCACAATAGACCTGCACGTTTGATGTGATGTCAGCAGCATCTTCGGTGGAATAGGCACCGGGACAGATGAATCCTGGTTCTGTTTGCAGTTAAATGATGGTGTACCGACATCGTGGTGAGCGTTTTGTTGCTGCTCACGTCAGTGAAAGGCATAGGTTTGGAGGTGGATCAGTAATGATGTTGGGCGGATTCAGTTTCAACCACATAACTCCCCTGTAGCATGTTCAGGGTCATGTGAACGCTCTGCGCTACAGAGACGAGATGTTACAGCCTCTGGTGTTTACAACACTTCCAGTTATTGCTCCACTGGCCAGACTCCCGGACGACAATGCACGTCCACATCGTGCCATTGTTGTCAGGAACTTTCTGCAGCAGAATCGAACTGACAAAATGGACTGGTCAGCTTATTCTCTTGATTTGGCACCAACTAAACATTTCGGGATAACCACCCTAAGCCTGCAAAAGGTGCTCAGTTGTACAATTCTTGTACATCAGACACAGAGGTGGTCACACTCGATATTAACAAACGAACCAGTGTTTCCGCCCTTTGTGAATTTGACAGATGACCCCAGTCCTCTTCAGTGCAGCTTATTGACTTTACCGCTGCCGGGTTTTTTTTGTTCTGACATATCTTTTCTTCATGTAATGGCATGTCTAAAAAAACATTTAATATTATAACACAACGTCAGTCTGGACCCTCGTATGAACAATATACTGATTCTGGCAAATATAATTTACCGTTCTTGAGGATTGAAGATGTATTTGTTGACGTTCATCAGCTGATCAAGACAGTTCCTCACGTGAACAAATTCCATGATACGCGAATCACTTTAAGGTAAATTTACTCACGTGAGGCACTGTCTTCATCAGTTGATGAACGTCTACAAATACAGCTTCAATCCTTATATTGACAGACACATACATAATAACAGAACCATCCTTTGGTACACCAACTTTAATTATTTAAGTGAACTATTTTAACGCGGAGACTTGCTTTTTAACGTGACGTCATTCGTGCCAAACATTCAACGGGAGTTACGTCCCTTTGTTTTACAAAAGACAAGAAATGGCGGCTACGGCAATGTCATTAATTTGAAATAGAAGTTGCACCCAATAAAGCTAGAATTGGAAAGAAATCCTGATCCGGTTGATTCTGAAAATGGATTAATATAAATGTGCTGTGAACATTGGGTGTGTGTTTGAGGCATACTCAGGCTCGATGAGCCGCCGATGACAGAGATTACCGCTTGAGGCGGAGCGGTTTGAAGTCATCCATATTGGCCTATCCGACAGTGTGAAACCTTGTGATTTCTTTCGGTAAGGGGAGCATTCTTGGTGACCAGACATATAATGATCTGTCTGGCTTCAAAGCCTGCATTATTCATAGCCTGAATCGCATGATGATACCGTCCCTATTTGACAGGGCGGTGGGGTAGCCTAGTGGTTAAAGCGTTCGCTCGTCACGCCGAAGATCCGGGATCGATTTCCCACATGGGTTAAATGTGTTCAGTCCATTTCTGATGTCCCCCGCCGTGATATTGCTGGAATATTGCTAAAAGCGGTGTAAACCCATACTCACTCACTCAAATGCGTTTTTCTCACTGAAGCGATAGGTAGACGATGATTTTGGTGAATTCAGTCGGACAGCTCATAAATATCGTTGGGAATACTTAGTGTTAACCTTTTTGAGGTTGCATGATAAGAAAACACATATCGACTTTCACTTGGTTAGCGATGCTCTGATTGGTCGGATGAAAGGTCGTTCTGACGTGTCCCGTAACGGAATGTCCTCCGATCTTTGTTTGAGCGGTAGCGAGAACTACGATCTGACTTTAATGAGACTAACTTGTAGACACAAACGTCATTACATAAAGTCAATAAAACAACATACGGTATGTCTTTTTATTCAGCAGCCATATGTCCACCAAGACTAACAATAGAAAGGAACCATTCAGTTCCACTGCTGATGGACATTGTTTAGGAAGAATATGGTTTCGAATTCAAATGTCTCTCTCACAAATGTAACGTTTTTCTTCAGAACCCTCTTTGTCACTCCACAGAAAGTCCACTTCCGGGTCTGCGACGAGAAAGTTTTTCCCAGAAAAATTCTGTGGGTAACCTGGACCCCATGCAAAGTACGTCATGACACGATCGTCATGGAGCAGCCAACGTCCTTCATTTACCTCATCCGATCCATCGAGGTGAAATTTTCTTGATATGTTATCTGGGGAGATAGAAAGCAATTTGGTCTAAGTTGAACAATGCTACTAGTACTTTCGTTTCAACTTGAGACATCCTGATATATACCTTAAATGCTCTCACGTGACATTCATTAGGATATACCATAATCGATGTTACGAGATAACTGTTAGAATTCTACTAGTCGCATCGGCAATCTCACAGCTATGTAGACGGGGAATTTTTAAATGTATGCAAACCTATGACATATTGGCATGTGAAGGGACAACTGGACATTTTCTTTTCCTACCTTGCCATGGTTTAGAATATTAGTTTGGTTTGGTTTGTTGCTTTAGGCCGCACTCAACAATACTCCAGCTATATGACGGCGGTCTGTAAATAATCGAGTCTGGACCAGACAATCCAGTGATTAATATCCTGAGCATCGAACCACACAATCATGATCGATGACATGCATCAACCAAGTTAGCGAGCCTGACCACCCGATCCCGTTATTCGCCTTTTACGGCAAGCATGGGTTGCTAAAGAACGGTTAAAATGAGTACACAAGAGTCATCAGAAAGATGACATATGCCCCCGGCAGCTGTCTGTAAAGTAACCACAAGTAAATGTGCAATTCTGTATGTAATGAGTCAAGAGTTGAGTGTTCTTGAAGAAGCATACATTGTTTACCCACAAAAGATCAACCATGGTCGCATCCATATGAAATGGAAAGTAAAACAAGTGTGTTTCTGTGGGTTTTTTTTAATGCAAACAAATGACAAATTACAAGAAACAATAACCAAACAAGCGTATTGTCAACGAAGTCGTCTATATCCCCCGCCCATTGTAAAACGTTATGGTCCCAAACCAGGTAACTGACCCAACATTTCTCTTAGCCCATGTAAAAAAAGCTGCAATGGAAATTCTAAAATAAACATTTCTAAAACTCCTTAATATCAAATGGCACCAGTTCAGTATGTGCTTTATATATAGACATGCAATGTTTGACAAGGAAATATTTAACAGTTTATTTGTTATACTCCATAAGTGAACACACCCTATATTAAAACTTAAATCCAACTTGTTGCCATGGAAACGTAAAAAATAAACATTTATAAAATTCCTAAATAGCAAAAGGCACCAGTTCAGTATGTGCCTGGTAGACATGCAAAGTTTTGTAAGAAAGTATTTAACGGTTTTTGTGTTACGCTCGGGAAATGAACACCACCCTTTTGTCGGGTCCATGTAAGTCCATAAAATAAAAATTTATAAAATTCCTAAATAGCAAAAAGCACAACTTCAGTATGTGACTGATAGATTTGCCAAGTTTCGATCAAATACACTGAATTGTTTTCGAGTTCTGCCCCGCAAAAGGAAATGATTACGGACGGACAGACGGACGGACGGACAGACAGACTGGCTGATCGCTATATCCCCCCGCATTATATGCCGGCGGGATAAAAAGGCTGACATTTAGGACGCCATGAACCCGAAGATGATTGTTTTACCATGTCCTTGTACTGTCTTTAACAACATCTTCAAAGAAAATCCGTTCATGTTGAAATATTAGAAACACGCTCACTGAGATCCAAAACAATCACACTTACATTGATACATTTTAACTTTTACTATTCTTTCAGTATTTGTTGTGAATTTATAATCATACCGTCAGGATGCCTTCCAACGTATTATCATACCGTCACGATGCCTTCCAACGTATTATCATACCGTCAGGATGCCTTCCAACGTATTATCATACCGTCAGGATGCCTTCCAACGTATTATCATACCGTCAGGATGCCTTCCAACGTATTATCATACCGTCAGGATGCCTTTCAACGTATTATCATACCGTCAGGAGGTCTTTCAACGTATTATCATACCGACAGGATGCTTTTCAACGTATTATCATACCGTCAGGATGCCTTTCAACGTATTATCATACCGTCAGGATGCCTTCCAACGTATTATCATACCGTCAGGATGCCTTCCAACGTATTATCATACCGTCAGGAGGTCTTTCAACGTATTATCATACCGCCAGGATGCCTTTCAACGTATTATCATACCGTCAGGATGCCTTCCAACGTATTATCATACCGTCAGGATGCCTTCCAACGTATTATCATACCGTCAGGATGCCTTCCAACGTATTATCATACCGTTCGGATGCCTTTCAACGTATTATCATACCGTCAGGATGCCTTCCAACGTATTATCATACCGTCACGATGCCTTCCAACGTATTATCATACCGTCAGGATGCCTTCCAACGTATTATCATACCGTCAGGATGCCTTCCAACGTATTATCATACCGTCAGGATGCCTTTCAACGTATTATCATACCGTCAGGATGCCTTCCAACGTATTATCATACCGTCAGGATGCCTTCCAACGTATTATCATACCGTCAGGAGGTCTTTCAACGTATTATCATACCGTCAGGATGCCTTTCAACGTATTATCATACCGTCAGGATGCCTTTCAACGTATTATCATACCGTCAGGATGCCTTTCAACGTATTATCATACCGTCAGGATGCCTTTCAACGTATTATCATACCGTCAGGATGCCTTTCAACGTATTATCATACCGTCAGGATGCCTTCCAACGTATTATCATACCGTCAGGAGGTCTTTCAACGTATTATCATACCGTCAGGATGCCTTTCAACGTATTATCATACCGTCAGGATGCCTTCCAACGTATTATCATACCGTTAGGATGCCTTCCAACGTATTATCATACCGTCAGGATGCCTTCCAACGTATTATCATACCGTCAGGATGCCTTTCAACGTATTATCATACCGTCAGGAGGCCTTTCAACGTATTATCATACCGTCAGGATGCCTTTCAACGTATTATCATACCGTCAGGATGCCTTCCAACGTATTATCATACCGTCAGGATGCCTTCCAACGTATTATCATACCGTCAGGATGCCTTTCAACGTATTATCATACCGTCAGGATGCCTTCCAACGTATTATCATACCGTCAGGATGCCTTTCAACGTATTATCATACCGTCAGGATGCCTTTCAACGTATTATCATACCGTCAGGAGGCCTTTCAACGTATTATCATACCGTCAGGATGCCTTTCAACATATAATCATACCGTCAGGATGTCTTCCAACGTATTATCATACCGTCAGGATGCCTTCCAACGTATTATCATACCGTTAGGATGCCTTCCAACGTATTATCATACCGTCAGGATGCCTTCCAACGTATTATCATACCGTCAGGATGCCTTTCAACGTATTATCATACCGTCAGGAGGCCTTTCAACGTATTATCATACCGTCAGGATGCCTTTCAACGTATTATCATACCGTCAGGATGCCTTCCAACGTATTATCATACCGTCAGGATGCCTTCCAACGTATTATCATACCGTCAGGAGGCCTTTCAACGTATTATCATACCGTCAGGAGGCCTTTCAACGTATTATCATACCGTCAGGATGCCTTTCAACGTATTATCATACCGTCAGGATGCCTTTCAACGTATTATCATACCGTCAGGATGCCTTTCAACGTATTATCATACCGTCAGGATGCCTTTCAACGTATTATCATACCGTCAGGATGCCTTTCAACGTATTATCATACCGTCAGGATGCCTTCCAACGTATTATCATACCGTCAGGAGGTCTTTCAACGTATTATCATACCGTCAGGATGCCTTTCAACGTATTATCATACCGTCAGGATGCCTTCCAACGTATTATCATACCGTTAGGATGCCTTCCAACGTATTATCATACCGTCAGGATGCCTTCCAACGTATTATCATACCGTCAGGATGCCTTTCAACGTATTATCATACCGTCAGGAGGCCTTTCAACGTATTATCATACCGTCAGGATGCCTTTCAACGTATTATCATACCGTCAGGATGCCTTCCAACGTATTTTCATACCGTCAGGATGCCTTCCAACGTATTATCATACCGTCAGGATGCCTTTCAACGTATTATCATACCGTCAGGAGGCCTTTCAACGTATTATCATACCGTCAGGATGCCTTCCAACGTATTATCATACCGTCAGGATGCCTTCCAACGTATTATCATACCGTCAGGATGCCTTTCAACGTATTATCATACCGTCAGGATGCCTTTCAACGTATTATCATACCGTCAGGAGGCCTTTCAACGTATTATCATACCGTCAGGATGCCTTTCAACATATAATCATACCGTCAGGATGTCTTCCAACGTATTATCATACCGTCAGGATGCCTTCCAACGTATTATCATACCGTTAGGATGCCTTCCAACGTATTATCATACCGTCAGGATGCCTTCCAACGTATTATCATACCGTCAGGATGCCTTTCAACGTATTATCATACCGTCAGGAGGCCTTTCAACGTATTATCATACCGTCAGGATGCCTTTCAACGTATTATCATACCGTCAGGATGCCTTCCAACGTATTATCATACCGTCAGGATGCCTTCCAACGTATTATCATACCGTCAGGATGCCTTTCAACGTATTATCATACCGTCAGGAGGCCTTTCAACGTATTATCATACCGTCAGGATGCCTTTCAACATATAATCATACCGTCAGGATGCCTTTCAACGTATTATCATACCGTCAGGATGCCTTCCAACGTATTATCATACCGTCAGGATGCCTTCCAACGTATTATCATACCGTCAGGATGCCTTTCAACGTATTATCATACCGTCAGGAGGCCTTTCAACGTATTATCATACCGACAGGATGCCTTTCAACGTATTATCATACCGTCAGGATGCCTTCCAACGTATTATCATACCGTCAGGATGCCTTTCAACGTATTATCAAACCGTCAGGATGTCTTTCAACGTATTATCATACCGTCAGGATGCCTTCCAACTTATTATCATACCGTCAGGGGGTCTTTCAACGTATTATCATACCGTCAGGAGGTCTTTCAACGTATAATCATACCGTCAGGATGCCTTTCAACGTATTATCATACCGTCAGGATGCTTTTCAACGTATTATCATACCGTCAGGATGCCTTTCAACGTGGTATTGGTTACTAATCGTATTCTACCAGTTCATAAGGATCGTTAACGTTTTTGCTGACCAAGTATAGAAAGTCAAGTGAGCTCATGTGTGCCGCCTATGGTCAACTCTATTTTGTTATACAATTGGAAGTCCAATGAGGCTGAAACTTTCCAAGAATGGCTCTTGTCATGGTGTCTCTAAATCTGCTCTTAGAAATTTTAAACATGGCGGCTGTGTAAGCCATAATGAAAATATCATTTCTATGTATCATTACGCCGCTTTTCGCAATATTCCAGCAATATCACAGCGGGGGACACCAGAAATGGGCTTCACACATTGTACCCATGTCGGGAATCGAACTAGGGTCTTTGGCGTGACGTGTGAACGCTTTAACCACTAGGCTGCCCGACCGCACCTGACATTTAATATGAAGCAAGTACATGTTGTATATTGTGGCGCATATTTCGATATTTTATCAATCTCTGCGTTTTCTAAATTTTGATTTGAACATATGCAGTTTTCAACAGATCGTTTAGAGATGATACTTTCAATATTTATCCCTTAGTACGCATAAATCCGCACAGACAAGCAAACAGTTCTTGGCCATGATTCTCTGAATAGAAGGGTTACACACTGGAGGATCCTCATCTGTCAATAAATGTTCATGTGTTTATTTGGAGTGGCCGATACGACATCCCCGTACAATGAATGACCTCTTCAAATCCAGACTGACAACCCAAGTAATATAACCAATAGTTAGTGCAATTTCATGTAATCAGTTAATATCTACTTTGGTGACCCACTTCTTTTGCAATAGACCTCTTATGTCACAGATTGAGAGCCCTTGCTACAAAATCAGCCACTGTATAACTGATGATGCAAACAAAATGCAATATCGTCTATTTTCGCCAGAAGCAATATAATCATATATTTTGTTCGTGAAAGGAGATGGTCAATTATATACTTTTCTGACAACACGTTTCGTCTTGACATCTACCTTGTCCATCGAATAATTTATTGTGAGGGTATATCCTGAGGACAAATTATTGTGTTTCCAGATTTATTTAAGTATGTGTATCAGGTCCACGAGGACGGGTGTGTGAAAATCGATAAGAACTACTGCGTTGTATTTATATTAAAGAGTTTCGATGCTGTAGCGTGATGAGAACATTTGCATGGCGTAGAATGAAGACAAGGAGAATTATGCTTACCTGACGAGGAGTTAATTTGCTTCCTGATGTGGTTTTGCTTTTCTGCATTGTCAATGACAATGAAGTGTTCCCCTCTGGAGTTACAGTCAGCCACACCGCTTTGGAAGGTCGTTCCGTTGAGGTGAATCTGGTAGCAGATGTTGAGCATTCTGTACTGGATATAGGTCAAGGGACATCCACCTAAAAAGAACACAAATGGACAGGTTAATGTTTGATATGCAAGAGGGATAAGATGCGATATTTTGAAGTTGTTTTTTTTCGTGTTTTCCCAAAGTTGAACTCTACCGCCACCGCTCAAGAAGATGTTCTCAACAATCCGCTTATGGCAACTGTTGAGAGACACCATAACTGTAGATCGCTTTTATATACAGGAGACAATTTCCTGACAAATAGTAGAATGGATTTGAAGGGCAAGGTTACTCTGACCGCCAAGGGTGCTTGTGAACATGAGTATTGACGACATATAGCTTACATGCATGAATGTCTGTTGTCTGACGCCGCACTCAGCAATATTCCAGCTGTATGATACGATGACATGCATCAACCAAGACAGTGAGCCTGACCATCCGATCCTGTTTGTCGCCTCTTACGACAGCATGTGTTGCTGAAGACCAATTCTAACCCGGATTCTTCACTGGACAGTTTTTAACAATCACCAACGATAAAGTCGAATTAGTTGAATGGCTTTTACATGTCATACAAAGTTGATTCGTGAAGATCCTGGTTAGAATTCGTCTTCAGCTTGTCGTAAGGGCCGATCGTTTCATATTCATTGTGTGTGTGCGCGCGGGGAGGGGAGGGCCTGGGATTCTATCGAAAACAACTGTCCCCGAAATTCTGGAAAATACTTATTTTGCTTCATATTGTTGGCAAAGAAGACATTGTCTGCCAAATAAATTACACAATGTGTTTTTTCGAAAAAACAACATATTAAGGCTCATAGCTATAATAAAACATATCAGGTTTTCCATCTGTTGCTGAAATAATATTGGGTATCAATACAAAACCCTAACATTGATGTCATCGTATCCCAATTGCGTGGATTGATACTCAAGATGTCAATCACTTGACGTCTTGTCCAGATTCGAATAAATTACCGACCACCGTCATAAGGCTGCAGTATTGTTGAGTGTGGCGCTACACAATTAACAAAGAAACAAACGAAAGTATCCTAACCTGTATTAATGCTGTAGTATACTGTACCCATCTCTTGTTCTCCGTCCTGGGACGACATGAACAACACGTCATGGAGCTGACACCGTCGGTATTCGTGTCTGTAGAACACAGACACACAAGCCTCGTTTTGAAGACAAAGACCCAGACAGGTAAATCTGTTTCCAATATTTGAAACTTCAGAGATGATATTGCTTCTAACAATGACGTCTGTGAATGACATCCATTTGGTTCCATAAGCAGTTTCAATAACGCAAGGTGAAGCATAGATGGTTACTGAGATGAGAATGAGTGTGAATAACATATTGTTTACGAAAAAACCCTACGTTAATTGTAAGACCTTGCAGAAGTTGTAGGAGAGTTACTGCCGGAAGCAATGATATTGTCTTGTACTGATAGATCCAGATCCAAAACCTTTTGTGAAAAAGTGGCGCCACCCTGGTTAGGACGATCCCATTTTTTAGACAGGTAGCTTGCGTGATTACACTTTATTATCACTGCTTATATATTCGAAATACTGGTTTTGTATTTTAACAATATCGACATGTACCATGAATTTAATGATACAGGAAAAAACATACCTCCTGCAAATATTGGACCTTACCACTCATTGAAAATTCATGTGGTGGATCATAATGCTCGTCATCCCTACCGTGTATGCAGGTAAGAGAAATCGATTAATTCTAACGTTCTCATAGGTTTGGTATAAATAACCTGTGACAACAAACTGGTTGATGAATATATAATGAGCTAATGGCAACGGTAAAAGTAAGGAGGGGCTGGTCACCCCATCCAGATAAGGAACCGTCGATTTCAGATATTCGGGTTGGGGGGAGGGGGGGGGGGGGGGGGGGGGGGGGTCGTTATCGGAACAATTATTATGTTACAATGTTGCAATTCGTTGCAAAAACTATCTAGGCTAATTGATTTAATTAAAGGTTGTATCTTGATTTGCAGCTAATGTATCTAGTCTCCATCTAAATTCCCGGCCCCAAGATGGAATATCAAATGGCTGAGTCTATTCGAAGGTCAATTATGTGTTACTGGGAACTTATTCTATCCCCGAATCCCCCAGGGAAATGTGTCTATAAATAATAGCAAGTATTCAAAACTACACGAATTACGCTGTCATTACCCTGTCATGCATTGTCACCATCTGTCAAATGACGGTTTGGCGTTTGATCTAAGTATAACAATACCAAACGTACTTCCAACCACCATCAAATACACAACAGATAATACTTAGGTATTAATTTCCTGATTAGATATAATTGATTTTAGATTTTAGTTTTGTCTGTTTTGAGTGATTTAGTTTTAGCCCAATACCTTTTTGACTGCGATGTATGTCCCGGCAGCTAGCGAAGCAGTGTATTTATATAGAGTTTCCCTGTAAGCTGGTGAGATTTCACGGAACAGATATGATAAAAACTTAAACATGTGTTTCCTTCTGAGTGTGCTTTGTTTGATGTAACTGTTAATAATATGGTGCTGAAAGAGATAAGTATTTGTGAGCAAACAGGACGTATGCATTGTTCGTAAATCAGGAATATCCGGTTCTTCAGAGGTATTATTCTCAGTCGGTCATTGACGTATAAACAACAGGCACTTGTAATGGCTCAACACTTCCTTACTAACACTGCTGGGGCGTTACGGTGCAGACACTACAGGTGTAGAGCGTGAAGAGATTTGTTTTGATGTCATAGTATTCGCTTTCACAGGCCAGTCGATGACCCTACTACATGTAGGTGGGCCATGAATAAGGAAAGCGTAGGTGTGAGTACGGACCACATTGGGTGCAAACTCCACTAAAAACCAAAATGCACATGGGAGCTTTTTATTACTATTTTATGTAAGAAGAAAAAAGTTATTACTGTAAAAATATATTATGCATATACATTTACCATATCAATATTAAAAACGTTGTTTATCAAATACCTGGAGAGATTCTTGGTCTTCCTACTTCTGCAAAAGCCATCATCTTTGGCACATAAATACTCATAACCCCCATCAATGATAGGTTCTATTGAGTGTCAAATGCAAGCCCCGGACCACAAAAGCCGCTTGGGACTTGTACCAGAACAAATTTAACAAAACCAAAATTCCTAAGTGAGTGAATTAAGATTTAACGTCTCACAAAATATTCCCAAGTAGCAAAAGGCACCCGTTCATTGCTGGGCTAATTTTTGATCAAGATCATATTGAACGGTCTTTAAATGGTGTTCCAGAACAAAACGTTCTGGAAGGACGTACAAATCGTATACCTAGATTCCTCTCCCACATCGTGGCAACCGATAAATATTGGACATGTCTACTTAAGTTGTCAAGACATTGTGAAGTCAGTGTCGTGCAGGGCACACTCGGTCATCCATGATCATCCGATGTACTAACCAATGTATACTCTGTGAGGAACGGTTCACGTCACAAGCATATTTTGCTTGACTACGTGGATTCGTAATGTAAAGCAGTAAGTGTGTAACATTTGTTTACCCGTCTTAGGAGGCATTTGATTTTTAAGTACTGAAAGAAATCGGTCATTTATCGTGACTATATGTTCACCATTTCATTGTATAAACCTGGAAAAAATAATTAAGCAATCTACTTGCGGCCTAGTGCAAAGTGCGTTCGAGATATTAGTATCCAATGATGTTTATTGCTTATCAGATAATTAATCATGATGAAAAAAAATGTATGAATTGGAACAGTGACATGGTTGGAACCGTGAAGAAAGACCAAAAACATTGTGGAATTTACTATTGTCGCGCAATAAATACTGAAATGCTTCAAACCAGTCTGTATCAACGGATCCTAACCTAAAGTCAGGGGATGCAAGAAAAAGCTATCGTCAATACTTGATGTAACCACCCTGTACACGAACGACGTTTGCTTGAAGTTGAGGCTTTCTAGCCCGTTCCGAATTTCAAAGCTGCAAGAGGTTCACGTACATTTTGGACAGGATGGTCTGTCGAACTAGACAGTTTTAATTGTACCACAGATGTTCTATTGGATTATGATCTGGACTTCCTGTTGGCCAATGACGCAAGCATTCCAGAAAAGTACGGGATCTGTGAGGTCAAGTATTATCATACACAATGACAGGTCCAGTGGCCACCGCATGTTTGTCAAAATGCGGGATAACTGCTGTCTCCAGGAAGTCATGCTTATATCGTTCGATCATAAGAGGCTAATTACATTTTGGAAATGCACTTAAACTGATTCAAATCCTATCTTACAAACAGGTTTCAGTCAGTTACCATTGGAGTCGAAACCTCCACCCGAACAACGCATAAGTATGGTGTGCCACAAGGACCCGTACATGGTCCCATTTTATTTACTAGTTTACCCCTGACCTCGGTAAACGTATCTCATCTACGGGCACTAAGCTGATGAAAACCTTCATGATTCCCGATCTGCCATCATACATGTAGAAGACTGATGAAATCAAATCTTGGAGGACTAAGAACATGCTAAACCTCAATCCTGACAAGATCTTCCTACTTATCTAACCTTATCCCGGTATATCAACCATCTAGATCCCTCCGCTCTGCTGAGAAACATCTCCTTAGTATTCATTTGACTAAACTGACAAGGTCTAGGCAGACGTCATTTGCCTACAATGGTCCAGCTGCATAGAACCGTATCCCATCACATGTGAAAGAAGCAGAAACTCTCAAGACATTCCTGTTCAGACTCTTTTATCAAATCAAAAGGAATGCCAACTGCCACATCTATACTGAACCGCAAAAGAAACGTCACCTTGGATAGATATATGAGAAACCTTATTTGTCGAAACACTGTACACATACTTTGAGACATATTAAAAAGGATTAAACTTGGCAAAACTAATCATCAAGGTTGAAATTAAAGTGGCGAATGTTCTTAAAGTCTCTGAGAAAATGGCCTCAAAAATCAGTATCTCGTGTGTCCGCCATGTGCATTGATGACTGCCGTGCAACGTCGATACATGGAATGGATGAGACGGTTGATGAAGGCCATAGGCACTTAAGCCCACACTCTGAGGAACGCCTGACGCAGTTCAGCTGCAGTTGTCGGCCTTGGTCGGACGTCATTCAGCCGTCTTTGAATCTCGTCCTACAGGTGCTCAATGGGATTTAAATTGGGACTGAGGGCAGACCACTGCATGGTCCTGATGCCATTCTGCTGGAGGAAGTCTCATGTTGCTCTCGCAGTGTGGGCACGGGGGTTATCAAGCTGAAACTCGTGGTTGCGGCGACGTGCCAAATGAGGTATGGCGTATCCGATCTTGGTGGATTTTTATAAGGAAAGAAATGGGTGAACGCACGTGCATTTCAATTTTCAACTCACGTGCATCGGGTTACCATGGCCGTTACCGTGATGCGTTTTGGTGATCGGTTTTATTGTCATCTGCTTCTTCTTTTTATCATCAAATTTCATTTTTCCGGACAAGGTAATGTTAAATTTTAGAAACTGACAAAAATTACCCAGATATCTAAATGACAACTTTACATGCAATGTTACTTGGGATGACGTTTCTCTTGCGGTTCAGTATATTTGTCTTATAGCTATGACCATGTATCAGCAGAGTGTTTCCCTTTTGATGTAGCACTGTGAGCATTAAACTGGTGCATGGAGTTAAGCGCATAACAAATGTACAAAGATCCGTGCGGATTACCCTGCACAGTGAAGTTTACAATTCAATATAACACATCTGTGCCATTTTTTTGTTATCAAATAGACATCCTTTGGCGAGCCTTAATAATGCTGCATCTTATCGCTGGATGTGTGACGTTAACTTTTAACTCACTCACTCTCGCTGACCTTGGCGTGGCATGTCCTTAATTTTTGTTCGGTATATCTGCACTATTTTTGAAATTACAGTGTGGTGACGTCCCTTTTCCTACAAGACATTTTTACATTTTTCCTTCCAATAATTGTTTTAAGTACGCATGGTTCATTTATCTTCAAGACTCACTGTCTGTATAACAAGATGGATGGCTTCAACTTTCCCCTTATGTCGAGCAATATTCCAGCAGCTCCAGCATTTGGTATCTACATTTTCACAAATTTTGAGGTACAATCGAGTATGCCCTTTCTACGGAGATTTCAAAGTGCCTCTTGCTCA